GCTGCTGGTGGCGGGGAGCAGTGCTTCTCTCTGCAGTTGTGGCACCCCCCAGGACTGCCTGGGCCAGGTGCCAGTGGGCAGGTGCCGCCTGGGGGAGCTGTTGCCACCCTGGAGAGAAGCACTGGTCCCCCTGCAGCTGTGGAGGGAAGCACTGGGCCCCCGCACAGCTCAGGTACCACTTGGCCTGCCAGCAGCTTGCCCCCCTCCCCCACCCACCACCACCGGAGAGGCAAGTAAGCTCTAACAATTGGGATCCCACCCTTGTGTACATGCCATGGGGATTTAGTTCAGTTTAATTTTCCCTAAATAGAAATAATGGAAATGGTGGGTTTTTAAAAATCCACCATTTCAATTTAGGGAGAACTAAACTGAATTAAACCCCTGTGGTATGTACAAGCACCCCAGATTGGTGCTTCTGGGCCTGCAAGTTCAGCAGTGTCCTTGGAGTCACCTGCCCTTCTCCCTTGTGCAGGGCTCTGAAGTACAAAGGGGGCATGTAGCTCCTACCCTTCTTCAGTTCCTTCTGACTACTGATGGCACAGCAAGTCCAGAGCAATTTGCTCTGTGTGTTTTGTCCTTTGCCTCTTCACAGTCTCTTTTCCTAGGTGCACCTCTAGTGCTGTTGTGTACACTGTCTGGGGGCTGCTCCTTCCTTCTTGCACTGGGCTTCTCTAAGGCTGTGCTTTTGTCATTGTGATCTCCATGGGGCTGGTGTGCTGAGCACGCAGGCCAGGGAAGCACAATTGAATAACATTGCCTCACTTTCTAAAATCTTCCAGCTCTGCAAAGAGCCATTGTGAAGCGGGTGGGGAGCAGTGAGGAGCGTAGTTACAGGAGTGGAGGCAGCCACACAAATCTTTCTAATAATGGCCTCAGGTAAAAGATCTAGCCCCACCCCCTTGGGCTGCTTTGCCATCTGACACTCAGCCATCAAATATTAATGTGATGCTAATTACGACTCCCTGACCTCCCTCCCGAGTGCTACACAAGGCTGGCTCAGGCTGGCTCAGGCTGCCTGAGGGCTGAAGGGCTGGGAGCACCAGCTTCTCCTGGAAGCTGCTTGGGATCAGCAATTATTCCTGTGGAAGCTGGCTGAGTTCTGACCTTCCAAACCACTGGACCTAGCCAGAGCAGCTTGCCCTCTCCTCCCCTGTGGCGGCTGCTTCAGATGGATTCTGGGCAGGACTTGGGGAAGGATGCTGGTATGTGTCATTGTGTGCAACTGTGTTTTAGGCTCTTCACTTGACTTCTCCTTCTTAGGTACTTGTGTATATCATGCCCCCTGTTGGTGGAGTCAGGTGGCACTTCTGCCCCTAGTTTTTGTTTTGCTTGAATGTAAATGTGTCCAGGTCGCCCATGGCCAGGGGAAGAGCCCTGCATGGTTGGGTTTTCCTTTTGTTCCTTTAACTCAACCTGTAGTATTTGCTTTACGTGGGTTGTCCAGGAGCCAGGTGTACCTAGACCTGGAACCCTGAGATCAAGAGATGCGATTCCATCTCTTTGTTATAAAGCACTGCTGAGGATGGATGTGTGTTACTGTCGGGGCTCGTTCTGGCCTCAGAACAGGGGTTATTCCCACACTTCAGAAAGTTGCCTCCTAAATCTTTCTGGTTTGAGCTGGAAAAGACACTCCTTGGCAGAGCATTTCCTAACCCAGCCCCTAACAGGATCCACTTCTCTACTTGCACTAAGTTCAGTGAACTGTAACAAACACTAAGGAAGTAACCAAGCTGCCTTGGGCTTGGTGGGAGCACAGCTCTGGAATTTCTTCTCTATGAGGGCTCAATGTTTCTCTGAAAGAAATGCTTTGACTGAACAAGAAAGCTTTCGGTTCAGTGCAGGAACTGCTGGATGGAGTCCTATGGATGGTGTCACGCAGGAGTTCAAGCAAGATGATCATAGTCCCTTCTGCTCTGAATCTGTTAGTCTAGAAGCTGACATTGTAGTTCTGAATTTTATGGAAGGATTCTCAGTGATTCAGCTGGGACATAACCAAAATGCTCCCAAGGCTGATGAGATGAACTTGAAAACAAAGTGAAAGGGATCAGTTAATTGATCAATCTGAACTCTCTCAAGCCCAGGGTTCAATTCCTGTCTCAGCTAGACATAACCCCAGTGATTTTAGACAAGTCACTTAATCTACCCTGTGACTTGGTTCCCTAGTCCTCAAGCATGGAGAATACTTCCCCAATCACTAATATCACAGGAATATTGGTAAGGATTCACAAGTAATTGTAAAGCACTAAGGTATCACTGTCCAGGGGTCATATAAAATGCACAGATATGAAAACTAGCCACGGATGAAAGTGGCAGTGTCCAGCTCAAGGAAAGGCTGGACTCCTTCAGCTCTTCAAGAATATTCAGATGTGAAGGAAATTCTGCAAGTCTTGATAATTTTAGTCTTTTTCTTAGAGAGCCATAGAGATGAGATTGCTCTCATGGGGTTAACAAGGGCCCGAGGGTTTCAGATCAGAGACCAGCTGGCCCTTTTGCTCAGAGTTGGACTGCAGGTCAAAGGCTTACTTTGCTTTTAGCAAAATGGTCCAGTCACAGAAGTTTTCCTGTGTAACACTGCATTTTTACACCCCTATTTCCAGTGAGGTCTCAGTTCACCATAGCTCTGTCTTCTCAGCTGTGCAGCATTGCAAGAAAGATCTGGCTTTGCACTTCCCACCATGGACACTGGAAATGTGTGACATGCCAGCCTGAAAGGGAGCCTAACAACAGCTTGGGGCTGTTTGTGTGAATCCCAGCAGACTTATACTGTGGGTGATACACCTGCCACATCTATTAGGACTTCATATCCAAGGATTGGGAGAATAATGATTCTCTTTCTGATTATAGGGAGGTAATGCTGGAGCAGGGCGGGTGCTGGTGCCCTGTTCAGAGTAATGCCTCAGAAATGGGCTTGCTGTAATGGTTTGAACATGGTGAGACTTACCTTGAAGAGAGCTCAGGGATGTATTTATTATTCAAGTGCAGCCCTCTGCCTAATGCTACAGGCTTCTTATCAGAGAGGGCATCTGGTTTTGAAATCCCATTGCTACAAAAAGCCCGGGGCACTTACAGACTCAGTGTAGCTCATTAGTTAAATGATGCTAGATGTCTTTGGAAAGTGCTAAAATACACTGACACTGCTCAAGCTTGAAACAGAGGGGTGCAGGGTCAGGGAAGGGGGGAGCAGGGAAGGAGCTATTTTTTGGTCATTTTCTTTAGCGTAACTGTGTTGAGACAACTGAGTGCTGCTTGGTGCTGTTGGGGACACCAGTCCTGCCTTTATACAACCAGGAATCGTTAGATCTGTAAGTCCACTGTGAGGTCCAGTCAGACCACTCTAGGGAGGTGCTGATTTAGTGCAGCTACCAGTCAGACTTGGTATAGGGTAGAGGCATAGGAAAATCATTGAGCATCCAGCACAGAGGGGTGGGGAGTGGCGGAAATGCAGACCACGACAGATGGGGAGGTGGGGCATGTGGATGAAAGGAATGGAAGTCTGACCATTCCCCTCACTACTGCAGCATCAGCTCTGGCAGCAGCAGCCCTGCGGCCTGGCTCCCTGGAAGCTGATCCTGTTGTTCCGTCTGCATCCCCCCACTCCCCTCCCACACACATTTGGGGTTCAAGGCTCTGGCAAACACTCCCAGGGAAGCACTATTCTATTTGCCCCACTTGCCCCTCCCGACCCCCAGGTACATCGCTTGGTGCAGTGCTGTGCTGCCTGTGCCCAGGGAAGGACAGCACATTCCAGTGTCCTGGTATAGCTGCTCCTTTGGAGAACACACAGTGTCACCCTTGAAGCCAAAGGGAAAATTAAGACTGATGAGTCCTGCCTGGCTGGCTAACTGCAGTACCATGCATTACAGAAGGTATTGCTGGTGTCCGGTGGATCATGTTCTGGGGCACTGGTGATATCTGCTCTCCTGAGGCCCTTATTGTTCCACCTGAGCTGAGTCTGTTACAGCAAATGTGAAAGATTCATTGGACCAAGCAAGTTATGACCAGAGTGTGAAACTTCTAGATGTTCATTAAATGGCTGAAAATGAGAACAGACATTTCACCAAATCTCTGTGTTTAGTTTATTCCCTGAACTAAACCCCTAAACATATCCTGCTTGACAACTCTGTGCCAAAAAAACCCCAGGGAACCTATTGCCCCGTAAGTACAGATGGTAGGTGGTTTTGTGTCACTCTGTACTAACAGCCAGTGTGAAGACATTGGGTGGAAACAGATGTTGCCTGATGGCTCATTTGTACTGCCATAAATATTTTCACGGTGGCATGAATGGGAAGCTAACAGATGCTGCTACCTTTGTTGCACCGTGTCAAAGGCAAATTGGTGGCATGACAAAAGGTTTACTGCAGCAAATTTCCATTAGCTCTGTAGTGGGTAAGTGGAACAGCCTGAGCTGCTACTACCCTTCAGCCACCCCAGGCAGGTGATCTTAGGGACTTGAGGGCTCCTCAAGCCCTCAGAGCACTTGTCTACTTTCCCTGCTTACAGAGAGGCATCTCATACCTCTTCATAAGCAGGGAAGTTGGAATTCCCTGCTCAGCCAGCCTCACACCCCAGCCATTGTGGGGAACAGTTCTGGCTGAGTGGGGAAAACGGAGAGATCACATCACTACATGTCCCACACCATCAGGGCTGGGACAAGGGGTGATGTGTATTTCACCCAATGTGGAACAGCTGTTCCACTTCATTCAGTAACATCTGTTTCTAGCATTTATTTTCCCAGTCTGTCTGCATCTTCCTGCAGTGATTCAAGTGCTTCTGCTCTTTTCCTGAAATTTTCTGTGCTTTCTTGGAGCATGGCACATCTCTGGCTGTTGCCTTAATGACACTGGGATTTTAAGCCACTGCTAGAAGCTGTGTGTAATATAAATGAACTTCTCTGCAAATCTCTTGATTTACCATGCATTTTTTCTGCAGTGGATGAGGAGAAGGTCTCGTGCTGTGCTTTACCACAGTTTCCTCTTTCACTGTTGTGTGTGTCCCAACAGTCTGGTCAACAGAGAGATTCTAGCAACCAGGAGGGTCAAAAGGCCAATGTCACAGTAACAAAAAGCCAATGCATGGGTGAGTACCACAGGCTGCATGACCACCTGGACTGCCTTGGGACATCAAGTGATGCCACCACAAGGATGGAGAATGCCAAGGTAACCCAGTGCCCCTGGTGGTGGGTTGGGGTAAGATAGGGCTCTTCTTTCCTTATTTTGGAAAACTTTTGGTATCAACTTTCCTGTTGTTTGTATTGTAACAAAACATTCATCCCCCTGGGGTACAAATTGAGAAGATCATACTGGAATGGTGAGCAGAGTCCTAAATACAGCTAGGTGAACTGCACAAAAAAAGGATTTGCTACCATTTCCTTGAATAACATTATTGGCCTGGATTCTCCTCCCACATATTCCAGTTCTAGATTAGCCTTGCACTAGAGACTTCAGTGGAGTCAACCTGTATTTACATCGGAATAAATGAACAAAGGATCCAGTGCCCTCGATGTTTCTTCTATCATGTTAATTAATATTTCATGAATATTAATATGATGGACAATTTTTTCAGCAAGTTTGTCTGTGGAAAGGGAGAGTGTTGTAAATACTTAGAGAAATGTGTATTTGCACTGGTCGGGGGAATATTTGGTGAACTATTTTGCATGAAAATGCAGCTTGGGGTTGCCTGAAACTATTTACAAATTGGAGTGGAGTTGCTTTTGTCCAGATTATCTCCACCCCCTCCCTCCCACAGAATTTGAAAAAGTCCAAATTAAACATTTTTCACTTGAGATTTCTGAAAGATTTTAAAAGTACCTAAAATTTAACTTTAAATTGAAGCAAAATATTTAACTGGTTCTGGTACTACATTTTTTCATTTCATTGTGGAAATCTACAAAAAACCCAAAATGTATTACAGGTTGCCCCCAAATGAATTCTCCCCCGCCCTCCACCCAATTCTCTGCCTCTAGCTCTTTTTCTCTTTTGGAACTTGAAAATCCAATTATTTGCTCAGCTCTGATGGCAAAAAAATATTTCTGCTGGTATTCCAAAGCTGTCTGTGGGATTGGCAGCTACCAGTCAGGTCACAGGAATGATATCAAGTAACAAAGGACATGCAACACATGTGTTGCTACATCAATAGCATGAAGAGCACGTTACAATAGTAACAACCAGAATGGAGGTCTTGTCAAATAATTTTAAGGTTTAAACATGCTTATTGAAACCATTCAGCACAGTGTTTCAAGTACTGAACCACACTTTGTAAACCTGTTCATAGATCATTTTGGAATAAATAACCAAAGATGGCTGTGACTAGGTCACTCATCTGCTTGTAGCAGGCAATCCAAACTCTCACAGCACAGCAGTCCTCCTGAGGGCCATGAGGAACCTCACATGGCTGGACTCTTAGCTGGTGTTGGTAGTGGTATGAGGATATTTTTAATCTGAGCATGGGCAAGACATTTGTGGGAGACTCAGGATGCCAGATGCCAGCGCATGTTGGCAAGTGGGGAAGCTCATCCTACTGCTGTCTTCGCCAGTGGTGCCAACAGGGGACCACAAAGTCGCACTTGCTGAAACAACAAGAAAAAGAATGAGAGACTCTGTGTTGGATTGGAAGGCACTTTGCATTTTCAGAGTTAAAAACCCTCAACTTTTTCTCTCTCTCTAGACTCAAGCGCCAATGAATTCTCTGCAGCTTGAGGTAAGTGATTCACCACACCCAAAGAAAGAAGGAATTATCCACACACACCCCAGCAATACCAGTGAGTACAGCTCTTGCATTTATACTGAAACAGCTGATGATGCATGTGAGTTTTGGTGCCTTCTGGGTGTTGCACTGGAGTGTATGCAGAAGTACATGCTGTAATTCTTCATTGTTATGGGCTGGTGAATGCTTGCATTCATGAGGACTGTGAAACAGGAAATATTTATGTGCATGTCGACATCTGATCCTTGGATGGTGTAAACTTGCATTGCTCCTTTGATTGTAGCATGGCTGAATGCATGTAGACTTCTCTGGAGCTACATCAGTGGACACCCCCTGGAGATTGCCCCAGTGCATGTGTATGTTCTATTCTTGAACCTTTTACAGGGAAAAGAGAAATGGTTGGAAATGATTTAGTGCTGTTCAAAATGTATTTCCCAGAGAGATATTGGAAGAGGGCCAATGGGGTATTGACTTTCCCTTGAAGGTGAAGAGTATTACCCAGTCTGCATTCTAGACATTTCTTGATTGTACTGTGCTGCTAATACTACACACCCTTCTTGTAAACTATTCCAACCTTGTCTGTGCTCCCAAGCATGCAGCATAAAAAGGGTAATATGGGTAACTGCGCCCACTTCTGTTTCCTTTGCTCTATGCCGGAGTTTCTAACACAAGCCTGTACTCCTCTCCATTCTAGCTGCAAATTCCTTTGACATGGTACTCCCCACTGAATCCAGCAAGCCGCTCACAGCTGAGCTGAAGATCAGCAAGTCCCTGCAGAAGGCCAGGATCACAGCAATGTTCACACATGCTGTATGTCCCTGACTGACTCTTTCAGATCTTTATGCAGCTTCTCCTCTGCTTTCCACTCTGATTTCACAACTCCTCAGTGGTGTTTCCCTACCCTATACCTGTATCTTTCTTCTTGGCCTCCCCTCTGTCAATCAGCATTCCTTCTCCATCAGGATGCTATCTCCCCCTGTGCCTGTGGAAGCTGGTCAGCACCCCTTCCCCACCCCTCTCCACAACAGCCCAGAGCCTACAAGCCATTGCCAACAACACACAGTCCCATGGTACTGGTGGGGACTCGTGCACAACCTCAACCCGTCCCATCCCACACCCACTCCAGACTCAAGCTGGGTGGAGTGGAGTAACTCTGGACTAGCCGGAACCAGGGTAGTCCTGACCCAGCCCACCCTGCGCCTGCTCCGGACTTGCCCACCCGTGCTGAGCAGCAGCAGCAGTAGCAGCAGTGGCCAGACAGAAACTGCTGCTCAGTGCAGGGGGAAAAGCAGCCCCTTCTCCTCACCACTGCTTTTCTTGATGCAGCCACCCAGACCCAGGCTGCCCTGTGGCTCCTCTACGCTGCTGTTGCCACCTCTGTGCCACCCAGTAGGGTAGCAGTGGCAGTGCAAAGGAGCCGTAGGGCAGCCCAGGTGTGGGCTCCAGGTGGCTGCAGCAAGAAGGGCCCTGGCACTTTTCCCTGTGCTGAGCAGCAGTTTCTTCCCAGCTGCTGCCACTGCTGCTGCTGCTACTGCTCAGGATGGATGGGCAGGTCTGGAGCAAGTGCATGGCAGGCTGGGTTGGGCCTGCACACAGGTTCTGGCTGGTCCAGAGCTGCTGCTCTGCCAGGCCAAGTCTGGAGTGGGTGTGGGGTGTGTTGGGTCGGGGCCAGTGGCAGTGGCAGCTGTTGATACCTGGACTTCCTAAAAAGGCAGTCCAGCTGCAGAGTTGCCCCAGCCCTGCTGCATGCCCAGGGGGCAGCAAGACACGCCACGAGTGCAACCAAGGGACCTGCCATGGACCAGACCAGACAAAGTCCCTCTGTGGGCCATATTTGCCCATCCCTGCTCTAGTACATTCACCGCTGCTGCCGTGGCTGGGAGGAGCAGGGCCCAGGCTACAGGGCTGAGGATGGCAAGTATTTGCTCAGACCTCTTGACCCAGAGGTGAGCTGAATGGACTGTATAAATAAGGAGAGTAAATAAAATGGTGATGGATGAGGAGTTTGTCCTTTTGGCAGCATCAGCCATTTTTCATAATATTTCATGCCTTTTCTATCATCTTTTTAATTTGCCTTTATTAAAGACATGATTGAAGACATCACAGCATCATTTGCTGAACACTTTGTTTCCAATTACTGAAAAGATTCTATAATTATTTTTTGTAAGTTTAAATTTCTGGCAAATTTTTAAATAAACAAATTAAAAAAACATGGAAACTGTTGATAGAAATGATAAATGAACCCTCTGAGATTCATAGATTCATAGATATAGGGTCGGAAGGGACCTTGCAGATCTTCTAGTCTGACCCCCTGCCCTGGCAGGAGAGAAAACTGGGCTCAAATGACCCCAACTAGGTAACTGTCAAGCCTCCTCTTAAAGACCCCCAAAGTAGAAGCCAGCACCACTTCCCTTGAAAGTTGGAGATAAAAGCAATGTTGATGTTCTGGAATTGTTTTTTACAGAAATAGTTAATCTATTTTTTTTTACCAAGCTCCCCTTATTGGTTAAACCTCAGTTTATCCCCCAGCTAGATCAAAAGAGCCCCAGGGCTGTCCTACTTATCCAGGATTGCAGTGCACTCGAGCCTTCCTTCCTTCCAGCAGTAGCTACATCCTGTCGCACTCCAACTCATGCTATTGCCTTGCCTGTGTGTGAGGAATACATCGCATGCTCCTGAGGCAGAAGGCAGCAAGAGTCTGATCTACTGTGTTATTACTTTAATCCTTTTCTGTATGTTATGATGAAGTCCTCGTACAACCAATTGTGGTGGTAAAATGGGTGGTGTGAACTCCGGTCCTTGCAGGCTGAGAAGAAGGAGCCAACAGATCCTGCATGGAATAGCTTCACCTTCCCGGTACTGGATGAGCTGCACCCTTTAGATATTGATGCCCTGGTCCCTACCCATGATGAACGAGGCCACCCGATCCCAGAGTGGAAGCGGCAGGTGATGGTGAGGAAGCTGCAGGCTCGGCTGCAGTCTGAAGAGGATGTGGGCAGGAAGGTACAGTGCTGAGATGAATGGTTGCTGGACTGGGGAAACTTTGTCAGCTTCTCCTTGCATGGTCAGTCCCTCTCTGTTCCATCCCACTTCCTTGTAGCTGTTTCATGCTGTCCCTCAGCCCCACGTTCCAAGGTCACATGGTTACTGCATCCCCAATATCCCATCCCTGGTATCCTCACTTCAGGGTATAGGCACACAGGTGCTAGGTGGTGAACTTAGAAGTGGTTCACTACTCCATACCACCTGCCTGTGTGCATGCGCATGGATCCCTCAATGAAAGCAGAAGAAGCTACCATGCATTTACTGTGGGGTAGGAGTTTGTACATAGGCAGTTACTGCAGAAGATCTGGTATGCTGTTAAATTCATGCCTGAACTTAGCTCACAATAGTTTGTTCACGTATCCCCATCCCCTTTTGTCAAAGGGCACCAAGTTCTAAGCATAGGGTCCCAAAGCAGGGGGAGTGTGGGCTTTGTCTCTGAATGAACAAAACTTGTTTAGGGGGCTACACAAGGACTAGGTGCTTGGACAGTGAATATTGATAAAGGGCTTGGCATCCCTTTGAGCAGTATTGGTTGGAGGCCATGTTGCCCACAAGACTGTCAGACGTTGCAGCTACAGGAGCTAAAGCTGAGGTTGACACTATAGGGGTGTTGCCCACAATGTGTACTTTATTGTTGCCCATGGGGCCAAAAAGGTGGGAGATAGCTGCCTTATAGTGCTTAGTTGCACAGATGTCATTAGCCCATGGGGGTTGTGGTTGTGGCTACATACAATAGCGTGAAGGACACAGGTGGGTCCTTTAGTTACCACAACGTCTCTACCTACCAGTCTTGGGATATGTGGGAATATTCATCCTATTGCTGGGCTGTCACTGCCTTAGGGGTCCTGAGGTGTCTCTTTGGGGTGCTGAGGTGGGAGGGAAGGTACCATGAAGCCCTGGTGGTGTCTGACTCTAACTGATTAAGTGAATGGTCCTCTGAGATCTCTTGCTTCTGTCTCTTGCGTGCAGAGCACTGAGGATGGCTCAGCAGAGCTGAGGGATTGGAGGTACTCTCACACTCACAATGCTATCCTGGGCCCCTATGGAGAGCTGCTGACTGAGGATGACGTGCTTTACCTGGAGAGGCAAATTGAGAACCTGCAGCTGAGAAAGAAGTGCCAGGAATATGAGAGTGAGCTGGGGCGCTTAGCAGAGGAGCTGCAGACCATCCTGCCTGCCCCCATTGTCAACATCACCATCAACAGCCAGCTCCTGCAGCAGGGGCCAGAGCGGGGTGACCAGACCCTGCCGGTCTGGTGCAGTCGCATCTCTGGTGTAGTGAAGAGCATGTCTTTGCTGCTGGCCAACGTAAATGATGGCAAGAGGAAGGAAGGAGAGAGGCCAGCCCCAAAAACACAGTCAAAGCCCAGTGAGGTGAGGGGCCCTGCAGGAGGCACTGCAGAGAGAGAGATCCTGGAGTGTGGTGTCTCTGTTAGGGACTTGAGGGGTAACTTTGAGAAGCAGGCTTTCCCAGGACAAAAAATGCCTTTGGAGCTCCAAGGTGGGAAGGGGACACCCAGGGAATGCTCTGGAGGATACCTAGGTCCTTCCCAAAAGCCCTGGAGCACAAGTAAGAGCCAGAGAAAACCTGTGTGTGAAGACCACGAGTGTGGTGATGTGGAGATTGCCAGTGACTCGGGGATCAGCTGTGAAGAGGCTTCCTCAGATGCAAGCGGGTCTCCTGTCCCAGCCACAGAGGCAGTCAGTCTCAGAAAAGAACGGATAGTCATGCTCTTCCTGAGCCACTGGAAGAAATCTGCTTACATGCCTTCCCTGAAAACCATGGCCAGGAAAACTCTGGAGGCTCAAAGGGGCAGGAGGAAGGGAGGGGAGGAGGCTTCTGGGAAAGCCAGAGAAGAGCGGGTTCCCGTGGAGAAGCCCGTGGTGGAAATGAGCAAACTGAGCCATTTAATTCAGCAGAGGAACACTATCAAGAACCTGATCTGCAACTGGAAGGACCTCATCTCTCATGTCCCATCGCGGCAGATCCAGCGCCTGAACCGCCGGCACATCACCTATTCTCCCGAGCAGTTCCTGCCCCATGTCAATGGGGCCCCTGTTGACTATGACAGCCTAACCCTTGATCTTTTCATGCTTGGCTACTTCCATATCCTGGAGCTGGACCTTTCCCCTGATGAGCGCAGGGCGAGGCACCTCCTCTGCTTTGAAGTCTTCGACCACTTGGGCAGACACAGCTGGGAGACCGTGCGTGCCTTCCACAAGGCAGTGGTTGATGAGGTAACTGCAGGAAGGCGGGGGTGGAAAGACAGCTTGGAGGATGTGAAGATTCATTTTTTTGGCCACGCAAAGGATCCAAAAAGGGAGATGGAACCAAGCAGAGCCTCAGCAGATACCACACTAAAGCCAATATCCAGAGTCAAGGTCCAAAGTGCTGCTCTCGAGCAGGGACAGCATGTTCCAGGCAACTGCACGGAACTTGGTAGCTTCAACAATGAAGAAATCTGCAGATACATTGACCGGAGCTTCACCTTCTGGAAGGAAAAGGAAGCTGAGATCTTCAGCTTCGAGGACTGAAGTCTGGAGCCATGGTGGAATGGTAGCCCCTGGTATGACATGAATGAGAGTCAGGAAGCTGAGTTGTTTTGGGGGACACTGCTGGCTCTGTGGCAGCATGTTTGATTCCCCAGCTACTGCTACAAGCAAGTGTGGAAGGACTCGGGGGAAATTCATTCCACTGCAGCTTGGTGGAGCAGAGAGATTGACCTATAAGGAGATCCTCAAAGGCACAAATGGCACCTGGGCACCCAGCCCCTAGTGCCTGTAAATAGGGTACAGGTGTCAAGCTGTCCCTTGTGCTCCTGATATCTCCTCCTGGCCTCACATCACCTTCTCCCTATTTTCACCCTTTAAAGTGTTTTTTGAGCAAGCTGCTGTGTCCTCAGGACAACAGATTGTTGGTGCTCTCTTCCCCTCCCCAACCTTGCCCAGCCCTTCTCATGAGCATATACAGAAAAAAACCCCCAGGGTCTGGCTTAAAGATACTGAAGGACCCTTGAGGATTCATGCTAGTGATGCCAGCCAAGGATATGACCAGCAGTAGGAGGTGCAGAACTGCCACGGGCACCCCAGGAACTTCAGGACTATGTCCACATGGTGAACTTGCTGTCCCTAGTGATGGCCATTTCACATCTGCTGCACTGCTGGCAGGACACCTCCTGAAGGGAAGCAGTGACAGAGCTGGTTATCTGGTCCCTAAGCTATTTAGCTCATCTGTGATGCTGCAGCTCTGTTGCTTCCAGTTTGGAAGGCAGCCTGTCCATAGCAGCACTGCCAAGGTTTAGCCCACTACATTGGCATAGCTCAGGACTCTTCTTCAGGGTAGGTGGCTTGCAGGGTGAGTGCTCTGAACAAACCACCTTGGTCATCTCCTGGCCAATCCACAGACAGACCATGAATAAGCATCTGAGCAAAAGAACAAGGTGATGAAAGCCCCCAGGAGAGGAACACTGGGTATTAAAGCTGAGCAGTGCACTGGGATCAGGCAAGTCCCAGTTTAGTCGGGGGATGGGGTGGGGTGAGGAGCACTACATGTTCTTCGGGGCTTTGGGGGCAGGAATCCCTTGGGTTATGTCTGAGGTGTCCTTGGAGCGTCTGTGTTGGGCTCCAGAGGGAACTGCATCTCCTTGTAGCAACTAGAAAGA